CTCGCGAGGTCGCAAGATGAATAAATAGAATCACGCTTCTCGACTGGAGAACCCAGAGACGATTCGGAAATACCTCTTGTAAGATCAGAATGTGTAAACCAGGATCCGTTATAGGGCGTGCGAGTAACGACTCCGTGTGTAAATAGGAATTTACTATATTTTCGATAGGTCTCGACTCGACGAGAGTCAATACAAGTCTGAACCTTGTCAGAAAATTTCAGCCGCGAGGACACCCTTGACGGTCCGGTCTTTTCCTAAACAAAGTCCTCAGAGACTAAACACTAAATCACATGGTCCTGCTTCAGCCATTTAGCTATCTCTAATTTTCTAACACTCTTGATTATTTTAGAATTTTATTCTAGTAAGGAAATGTTTCAAGCTTCGAGGAGACCTTGTCCTTTTTTTTTAAAAAAAATTAAAATGCAACAGTTCTATCGCCGAGGTGAAAACGGAACAACTTTCTTCCAGAGTCTACGCCTGCGTAGAGATCTTTGCAACGAATCGCCGTTTATCACTGCACGGTTAATCGATGGGATCATCGATGGCGGGCAGGGTACGCGGTTCGTAGATGAATTCCAATCAGGAGCGACAGCTCGTTGACCATCGACACCTGGGGTTCTGAATGTTAAACGAGCTCGGAGTTGCCAGCCGCCCGCATGTTCCCTGCCCGACACAGTGACCGACAGCGTGAGAAACGGCTGATTTCGATATCAGGTCCATTTCGCGGTCCTGCGAGCTTTGTGTTAGGCCAATGCCTATCACTTCGAGCAATGTATTCATTACCTCCTGCTAACTCAAAGCGATTGGTCCAAAGCGAAGCTTACCCTGTAATTCATTTCGGAGACTCGAAGCGATTCCAAGCAGTCATTCTTCTGAGACGTACCTTTTCATTACATAAACTCACCGTGTATAATAGTTCTTCTAGCATAGTTATTTAAACCTAAGTAAGACGTACGTATCGAAATTCATATGTATACACAATAAGTTTGTCTCTTTTCTTTAAGGGGTTAGTTAGGGGTTAGTCGCATAAAACTATCTTCAACTAATTTTTGTTGAAAACTTGTTTCACGAAAATCCGAAAACTCCTTCTAATTTTGGCCAGGTTTTTGGCCATCCGGACCACTGTGCGTCGCCGCGACCCTATCATAAATCTTAGCCTATGCTTAAGCCTATCGCTTATTCCACATACATTTATCCTATTTGCTTATCCTACAATAAATTAAGGCTCGGGAATGTTTTCTGGGACAAGCCAACGTTATTCCATATCAGGCTGCACGGCCTTTCGTCGCGACGCGGAAAGAGCGTCGTGGGCCGACAGAGAATCGGGAAAATCGAGGAAACCGACGTGGGACGGGATAAGCCCTCGTCGTGAATGGACGGCAACCCAGTTGCCTTCGACAAAAGGAGGAGAAAATACTGGGAGAGGCTCAATGGCGATGTTGATTAGGTCGATTCCGCCGGCTGAGCCGTTTTATTAAGAAGATCGGTGTAAACTTCAGGATTCCGTCCGAGATCTCGCCTGCATTCGGACACATGCAACGCGAAGAAACTTCCAATGGGGGCATCTCGCTCGCGTGAAAGGAATTTGGAAAGTTTCGCTACGAAACGAACCTCGACACGTAATATAAACCGGCGCAGCGTGCGCCTAATACCTGAGAATCACCTGCGAGCTGTGCAGTGTAGCGGAAATTGTTTCCGCAACAGCATAGAATACCTATCTTTATTCGCGAACGCAGCGTTTCGGAATTTTTTGAGTCAATTTCACTTTGTCTCGAGGTACGCAGAGTATTTTTTAGCATCTCGGCGAATGCTTCGCGTTATACAAGTAAGAACAGCGTCGTCAGACAAACAGAATAAGATTGTTTAATACAACGAAACCTTTATCGGACAAATAGGATGAGGCTGCTTGGTCAGTATAGTAGAACGAAATTGTTTTCGTCCAGTTTCTGGGTAAACAACGCCGCAGAATATCCACCGAACTATTAATTTTAAGGCCGATAAAGGTCGACACATTTTCGACATTTACACGACCCCCCGTCAAATATGTAACGGTCTATTTAAACAACCGAACCTGACCTTTGAATCTTCGCCACCCTTAACAAAAATACTTGGACCACTTCTGCAACTATTCATTTATCTCGCGTAAAATTTAGGAATTGTCAACGATAAACGGTGTTAACTCTCTCCACCTCTCTGGATTTCTCTGGAGAACGCGGAACGAAATTAAGCTCGAATCTGCGAGCGTGGATTCGAGAATGCTCCGGCGTCTGAAAGGGTTGGATTTTTCTGCCAACCCCACCTGAACGCGGGAATGCAATTATTCGACGTCGAATGAATGGGGGGGAAAACTTCCTATTTCCTCGCGTCTGTTATTGCAGAGCGGGAATCCCAGACGAGCTCGAGAAGCTTTCGACGAAGTTTCGGCCGCTCTTTTCCCCGCGAAAGATTTCTCCTCCTTCGCGTCTTGGTCTTCTCTCCACGGTCGCCGTCCCGACCCTCGAACTTTCTCACGGGCGAAATAGAAATTTTTCCGCGGCCGAGCGCCGACCACGTAAGCGGGACGCGTAATTATTTAAGGCTGGCAAAATGGCGCGGTTTCGAGTTTCTGCTCGAGCTAGCGCGGAACACGGCCCCCGAAGAAAACGGGAAAGCGCCGAGAAACACGAGCAACTTTCCGCCAAGTTCGTTTCGCCGCAGCATGTGAAAGTAGAAATTGCAATTATTTCATTGCGTATAATCGCCACTGTTCCGAAGTTTCCCTCGGCTCTGACGTTCTCGCCCGTGAGAACACGCCGTCCCGAAGACACTGCAGCGAGCAATTAAGATTTCTGTTCATTTTTCCCGAAACGACCCCCTCTCGTCGTTAACAAGACGCTCCGCACTCTCTTTCCGCGAGAGTAACGAAATTGGATGCAATTCCCTTTCTTCTCTTTTCGTTTTAATGCTATCCTGATTTATATCGGGAGTTTCCGAACCCGAAGAGGAAGATTCAAGTATTTTGGTAACCGATCTACCAACAAATTGTGTATATTTACTATTGCGAGGCTTTTGTGCGAGGAGGGACGAAGGAAGAAAATTATAAAATACACCAGGCGAGTGGAAAATGCACTCCGAGGGCAGAGAGCAATCTTCTCGTCCCATGGCAATTATGCCAGACCGTATTTTTTCGGGGGCGCTTGAAATTTCGTTATCTGACATTCAATTTCAAGATACGCAGTGTGTTATTTCTCGGTTAGTTAATTTTCTAAACAGCGTTACTTCATTTCAGGAAATAACTTTCGGAAGAATAATTTAGAATTCGCATCAATTGAATATCTCTCGATGGATGAAAACACGAATTTATGAAAGGGTGAAGGATTATGAAAGGTTTTCACTTTGTACGAATCAGAAGTCTTCCGTGCGAGAGGGCGAAGGGACGAGCTTCCGGTTGGTCGAAGTTTGGACAGAGAGTGGACGTTCGAGGATGGTTCAGTGTCCGTGAGGACAAACACGAATTTGGGGAAGCTATACAAATTTGTCCCGTTACACCTTTGAGACAATTACAACGCCGTCAGCGTATCTCGCTCTGATTAATAATTATTCCTCTAACAAACCACGCCTGCTGGCATTTTAACTAGTCGAATGCTACTACGAGGCGAGAATAAAACGAAGACACACGGTACGAGAGATCGCAAACGTTTTGACTGGAGTCTTCGGGATCGTCGCGAGAGCAAAGGGACTCTCGATAGCGGGGAATAGCTTTCAGACTAACGAAAATAAATTCTGAGCACAGCACCGTTGTTTGTCTCCGTAAAACGTCGCTGTTTTTTGCCAAAGGAAGGCCAAGATTCTTCCGTCGACGAAGCGGAATTTGAGAGAACCCTGGAGGGTTGGAGAAACGCTACAACGTAAATTTTTATCGCCCACTGTCCGGAACAAAGTCAGCAGGAGATTCCGTAAATATGCAGCTCATATTTTCCCAATTTCCATTCGCGTTCCACTACAACGAAGATCATAAATTCCCCCTCACCGCCTCCCGGGTGCTCGCGTGGAGGTCCCGTGTATTTATACATAGGGAATTTAACGCGTAAACTCGCAAAACGTAGGGAACGCCGAATTTCCCGTCAACTCGTGCAAAATTCCGTAAAGCTTATGATTTAATGCAACGTCCGACATCGGCAGATATTCAGTAATAGATTATTCTTTTTAAAGCGAGTAGCACAAAGTTATCGCAATCAGACAAGTGGAAAGAGGGTGGATACAGTGTACAAGTAGCATAGACGTGCATCAGTCATACAACTGGAACAGAATAGAAATGCACAAGTCAGCCGAATAGTGCAGGACTGCACCAGCCAGACAGGTGGAGCGAGGATGGATTAACCGTATAAGTAGCGTGGAAATCCACCGGCCAGACGAGTAGTACAGACGTGTGTGGTTTGTCAGGCAAGTAGTAGTAGGCAAGTAGTACTGTTTTTGCCGGACAAGGGGAATAAAATGAAAAGCATCGGTCGATCGATCCCTTCCGTTGTTTCGGCGATGGGGACGGCGGAACGTGGCAGGATTCGCGCCGTCCAGGGCAAACAGGATGTCGGAAGATTTGGCGGCACTGTTCGAACGATTCTTTACGATCCTCGATGAAACGTAGAGCAAACAGTTGGCGACGGCACGTGCAAGCTTGCACAAGGCGTCCGTGGCGCCAATCTGTTCTCTGAATCGAAGGTGGTAAATAACGTCGTTGGTTGTAACCGCGTTTGGAATAGTGTCAAGTAGGCGTCGGCGCCGGGACGGCGCCCTTTTTTCCGCGATTCGAAATCACGGTTTCCTGCTCCTATGATTCGTCGAGGTTCGAGCTGAGAATCCGTCGATGCTCGGGGAATGGAAATAAACCCGTTTCGGAGGTTTACGAGGCCTAGCTGTACTCGAACACGGTACATTTACGTAATCTTTTTTTATTTTACATTAACGGAGGAAGCCTCATCTTTTCGTCGAGAATGTGAAAATATTCCGTAAAGTCTACTTACGATGCACCATTCGGCACGGGGTGGACACTCCTTCAGATGCATGTGAGCGGTGTAGTTGATGCACGGCGTGATGCTTCCGACTCCCTCGTTGTACTGTCCGCATATGTAACATCTGATGCCGTGTGCGAGCCCTGGAACAACGTAACACGGCCGTAAGTATGCGAACCCAGGTATTAGCGTAACTGCTCTACTCTTTGCTACGAGCATAAAATGGCTATTACGTTAAAACCGTCCTGCCCTTTATTCCGAGCGCAAAGACTCGCCAGGGACACTGTTCAAGCGGAATCGCTTTTGTTCCTGAAATAACTTGTTAGGCAGTGAAATCTAGGAGGCATCTACTTTTCTATGCGTGCACCATCCCCTGGAGTAAAATAATAAAAAATTCTCCTTAAACAGAAACTCGAAGAATAAATTAAAAAAAGTTTCAACCAAAAACAAGTTGTCAAGCTTACGGAGATTGAAATGGAGCCGCATAAATTCGTACAGTTATTCCGATTGTTATTTTGTGTAAAGGGAGTTCGCCGTTAACGCTTTCACGGTAAAAAAAAAAAAAGAGGAGACGTACGTGAAACGCTTCACGCCACGATAAATCGAGTGCATTACACCCTTTGGCCTCGGTTTAAAACAGGCGTTGCGCGCGCTGCGGAAAATTGCCTGCGAAAGTAGAAATTAGAGACGCGTGCCGCTTTGAAGTCGAAGGGCTGGGTGAACTTTTCAAGCAACCTGCGGAAGAGCTTCGAACGTCGAGGCAAAGACAGCGCGGTGCGCGATCGAACCAGCGCAAAGTAAAGGTGATCGACTGCCACGAAAGACGTTAAATACACCGAATCCTAGCGGACACTAGATCCGGATTGGCAGAGCTGCGAATGTTTTTAATGAAAATTCACCTTGGGCTAACTGTGGGTTTCAAAGCAGTCGCGGAGAGACGATATCCGAACGATTCGAAAAATTTTAAGCGACGAGTTAAAGTTTCTCCTTTCAAGTTTTTGCGGCGAACGATCTCCTAGTGGATTAAGAGTTGCCGATGTTAAAGGCATCCAAGGAGTTGAAGAAGGAAGAAGTCTTGAATTACTTTTTACTGGACTAGAGTTACATGAGAAATAGAACAGGAATATGATCCAACTGCGTCTGACACGATACTGGCTCGTTCTACTTACAACTGATGTCAGGTGTTACACCGAAAAAAGAATTCTAGGAAGGATGCAAACATTTACGCTACTTTTCACTATTATTAAACGGGGTGATTACGATGATATGGAATATTAACGATAAGCCTCATCAAACCCTGGCTCATACATCACTTCTTGCTCGTGGTTCCAAATACCAGCGAACTTTGGATATACTAGATTCCGCGAGGAACGCAAACTCGCAGACGAACCTCAACGCGTTCAGAAACAGAGAAAATACCTTCAGACACAACGTGACAAGAAGTTCCTCCGTTAGAGATGTGTCTTATCCAGCCGATGGCGCGGAGGAAGGAGGACACGATGTAAGGCTCCAAAACAATCCAACCGCGTCCGCGTCGCAAAGCGGATTTCGAGGGAACAGTCGCGAAACTTTGCATCGTTTCGGCCTCGATATTCGGGAATTCGAACCAGGTCCCGACGACACAAGGATAGAGGGTAGGGCGGAGTTGGAAACAAGTCCAGAAAGAGAGTTTTCCCCCAGCCTCACCCTCAGAACTGATATTCCACGGAGGAGTGTCGCGGTCGCGGTTTCTTAGAAGTTTCGTGGCTACCGGTATGGTAAATTTACGAGCAACGATTAACAGTTTTATGGCTCGTATCAATTTTCACGTCCCAGCGGCTCGCGAATTAATCGATTCGCAGAGAGTGGCACGGTCGCGATTTGGCTCGGCCACTGCGGCTGATTTGGTAGTCGCTCCTCGATCCTATCGCGCCGAATGAATCCCACCGAATTGGCAGGGCGAATGTGGATTTTTTAACGAATTGCGATTCCCCTAGGGTGAACCGAAATCGCAATCGCAACGTTGGATCGAGTGGGCTTTAGCAGCGGTACAATGGATACACTATATTTAATTGCAGGACTGTACTTGTCTGAGATAATTCGAGTTGATTTTAAAATTTTTAATTACTTCGTTTGTCGTTGTATTGCCGTTTTAATAATTTAATAATCAATGATTCAACTGGTATACATTAACTGCATCACACTACGGTGCAGCTGATATCGCGTAGGACGTTAACGATTTCCTCGGACACGGACGCAAACACTCGCACACGAAGGTGACCAAAGAGGTCGAGTTGCAGAAGTACAATCCACGGGATTCAAGAAGATAATGGGCGAAGTTTGGCGACCTTAATACGGGAAGCGTCACAGCGGTCCCTGACCACATAGCTCATGAGATCGCGTCGGTCTCCGTGGCAATTAACGTTGTTGATTTTCCGCGAGTCGAGTGTTCCGAGGCCCGGCTGGAATTAAAGTAGCCGAATTGGACTGTTCTTGCGCGAGTGTTCGCAGTGTTCGGTTTAACCGCTTTGTCACCCCCTCCCTGGGAACGTCGATTCTGCAAATTGCAGTCAACGGAAAGATGCCGAAGACCAGCCGTAACACCGAGGTCAATATTATCGAGAATTATTGGTATTCTTATCGTCGAGGAGGACGGCGGACGATTCGATTAAGACCACGGGTAATTAAGCGCTTAGAAGATACCATTAATGTCTTAGCAAGTAGAACGAGACCGGGTCAGGTCAGCCAAAGAGAAACACAACTTCAGTTGGATAAGTAGAATTGAACCGATATTAGAGCAAGTAGAGCAGAAATGCGGCTTCAGTTGAACAAGTAGAATCGGAGTGGCACTGGTCAGCTAAAGAGACTAGAGATACGCTTTCACTCCGATAAGTAGAATTGATCTGACATTGGTCAGCCAAGCACGATATTACTTACACGAAACGAGCGTGCTATTTAAGTGTAGAATTTATTGTTTTTTTTTTCGAACAGTTCCAACGAATAATAACGAAAACTACCGAAACGTGTTCCGGAAATGCGTGAATATGGCACGCTCGTCGCGATATCGACGTTCCCAGGAAAACGTCGGCTCTGCGGGAACAGCTTAGAATAGGCGAGAAACGAAGCACCGTCTGCGGGGATCTCGGCCGTTTTTGCTCGCAATGTTTTCCAATTTCCAATAAAATATTTTTGTCGGGAGACCGGGGTGGGACGGGCGAGGCCCCCTCCTCCCTCCCCGTCCCGTTGTACATCCTCCCGCAGCGAAACCGACTCGATAAAAGGTAACTTTTCCAATTTCCCGCGAATCGTCGACGAAAGCTACTCGGAATTCGATATATACGCGGCGATCCGAATCCTTGGCCGGAATGTTTCCCCGACCTCGACTGAACCCCTCGGCAAACGTAAACGATAAATTGATGCGGCCGCGTATCTACGCTGATTCACTCTTAAAAATCTTTTACCAAACACTCTGCTAGCTCCTCGCGCCCAGCTCCCCGCGATTCATCCGGGTTTCTTGAACGATAGAACGCGAAAGTCACATTCGATGAGTCTCGGATGTACTTCTTATACACTTTAAAATAAATCTTTAACACCAGAGAATCCAAGACCATTTTATAATCCCTCTTAAGGCATTAATAAACAAAGACCAACTTGAGATAGATAAGGTTAAGTCTACATCCGACAAACGCAGGTGAGAAATGGTCTTCGATCTACAACGAACTCTCAACAGCTCTTTAAGGAAGACATTAAAATTGATGTAAGCTCTCGCAGAAACAGTGCCCGCCACGGATAAAGCGGTGGTTTTCCACTTCAATAATTGGCGGACCCATCATTCGGTCTCGCGATTACGCGAATATTTCACGTGGAACTCCGGGACAGGTGAATCGCGCAAAAAGGGTGACAAGTGAACGAGGGAGAAGTCGCGGCAAAAATTCCTGGCCTGCTCGTTTCCCGCGAGGCAGGAAAATATTGCTTGTAAATTCCCAACGTAACGGGCCAGTATATCTTGTCACTCGCTTCGGACCCGTTGATTTACCTCCCGTTCATTTTTTTCCCACGCGTTTTAAACGTTAACTTCGACCCCCCCGGACGGGATTTTCGCTTCTTCCACGGCTCGTAAATCGTTTCAGTGCGACGCGACGACCTCTTCGGTTATGTTCGAACACTTTCCATTATTTACTTCCGAGGAAACCGTTCTGTTCGTTCCGATGTCAAAATTTCCTGCGCCGTCGCGCGACAATTTATGTTTGTTTTGTAGAAAAAAATGGAACCGTCTTATTTCTATTTTATTTTTATTTGATCTCGCCATTATGTTTCGGCCGTAGCGTTTGTAAGATCGCAGACTTTAAGGGAACGTAAGAAGATTGAATTTTGTTTATCTTCAAATTAGGTGGACCGCAAGCAAACCCAATTTTCCTGGGCTTCGTTATCGTCGGGGCAAATATTTGCTTTCGATTCAGGATAACGCTATCGGGATGTTGGTGTTTCGAAAACAATTTAAACTTCCCCGTTTCACGCGACACCGAGACGCTCGAGACGAAAGCGAGGACCGCGGCGAAATTCTGGCCGAGAGCTCGACCCCTAGGATTCCGAGGATCTTGATTTCCCCGCCATTTAAAATTCAATTAAACCCTGCGCAGGGACTCTCGTAACAGGGTCCCGCGATGAAATCAACCTCTATTAATTAGGTATTATCACCGGAGTCTCGATGACGGTAAGAGTTTCAGCCATAGGGATGAAAAGGGATTGAAGAAAGCAACCCTCTGGCGAAATCAAATAGCAATTGCTCTCCTTTACGAACAAGTGACATTTTCATGGCTCGAGAATAATTTTGGTAATCATTGACCCGGAAGCTGCGAGCTTCGATGTCTTCGAACAGAAAAGTTTAAACCGTAAATGAATCATTGCTAGCTAATATTCACCACTCGAACATTGAACAAAAATTACCAATATCGAGTTACCCGAATGTCGTAAGCATCGAATTACGCAAATATTGTAAATTTGCCAAATACTCCGCGTATCCAATTAAACGAACATCGCGAATATTAAATTTCAGAAATGACCAGCCGATACTTCGCAGCCCCATTCAGGTTCGAGGGATGGAACTATCCTTTGAAATTTCGCGGCTCTGATTGCCTCGGTTCCGATGCGAATCTGGTGGATG